TTGGTAAAGTTGGATGAGCTTTTTTGATTGTTGTTAAAGTAGAGCCAAGTAGAGTTCCAATCAATATAGTGAGAAAAATGTATTAAACCCAGTTTTAATCGGTTTTAGAGAATATAATTGTATATATAGTATACAGTATATAATATTTATTAAATTAACTTTAGAGTCAAGATCATTTTAAATTAGAGTTAGATTAGGTTTTAGATATTGTATATATGCAAAATTGCCTTTTCGACATTTTTGCTTAATTTACCAAGGTAGATTTAGACTGCCGTTTTTTATATTTTTAAGGTTTTTTGGTTTTCTTGTATATGGAGTCTTTGCCTTGAAAATGACCTTACGGAACTATGTAGATTTTATGAGTAAAATTAAAATTTCTAGCTATCTAATAATCAAATTCAAATAATTTTTTTTTTTTTATTTTGTAGAACTAACTAAGATTTACAAATAAAAAAAGTTTATTTTAATTGGATTACTGGATAGCTAGAATTTTTAATTTTTATTCATAAAATCTACATAGTAAGGTCTTTTCAAGGCAAAGACCGCTTCGCCGGCGATCATCAAAATTCTACAATTTGATTGGCCAGTAGTCACATGATTTATCTCTCTGGTTTTTAGCATATGAAAAATAAAACCTGTTACGTAACATGGTTATATATCCTGATATAGTAATTTTTCGCTATCGCGTCTAAAATAACTGTTATATAATCACATGCGTTGGCAATCCGTTAAAGTGCATACAGCCCAAGATACGCTTATTATTATAATTTTTCTCCTTCCTCGTATATTTTTCACTCACCTGCAATTAACTGAAAACTTATAATCAAAATAATTTAAATGATTTATTTATTAATCAACTTATTGAATTAAAAAAATTCCTTTTTGCACGCAACGAAATACTTTCTTTAAAATGAAAGATAACCAAAACACAAACAACCGTAACGGTGAAGCACTAGAGCAGATTGTTTTAAATGTCGGCGGCATTAGGGTAAAGAATTTATCTATCAGCTATATAAATCATTTTTCTATTAACTAAGTATATAATGTGAATTTGTATGTAGTACGAAACATATCGTTCCACTTTGACATCATATCCCAATACACTTCTTGGAACAATGTTTGCTGAGCGGAACAAAGCTTTATTACACCCAATCAACGGAAATGAGTATTTTATTGATCGTAATGGTTATGCTTTTTATTATATATTGGAATTTTATCGAACAGGCAAGATCTTTTGGCGTGAACACCAGCACTTACGATTACCCATCCAACGATCAAATGGAACCATGCAAATAGTGGGTCATCAAATCTCTCGTGAAGAACTTGAAGAAGAATTGCATTATTTCCAACTTCCAATAAACAGTATATGGTCTTCATTGACTCAACGAGCAGCAGCTGCAAGACTCGATTCGTTCATTGCCGCGTTAAAAGAAGTAATTTATCAAGTCTTGGGAGAATTAAAATCAAAAGTTGAAATCGACTTTAGACGAAACAAACATCAACCTCATGTGAAAATTTACGGAATTGATACTGATGCAGCAGTAATATTTCACGTTATAAATAATATTGTAAGACCTTTTGGATCAGTTGGATATGCACTTTTAGATAGATTTGGTGCGGAAATTGGCTGTCATATTCAACGCACAATTCCTGAACTTCATTGGGAACTTCACCATGTCGACAACTATAATTGGTATTGTGTTAAGATGTCCACCACTGAAGAGTTTGATTATGATAAAATTATTCAAAATTCCTGTCTCGCTTCTCCTATCTCTACTAAACCTTTGTCAGGTGGACAAATTTGACAAGGGACAATTATTTTGAAGTAATAGATTTATTAGATTTATTATTCATTTTTAGATTAATTATTATTTTGATTCTTCATAAAAGCCAAAAAATTTTTTAAATAGAACTAATAGAAATACATATAACAATACTAGTTATTGATCTTACCGAAGCAAATCTTCATACTCTTGTGATGATATCAGCAATATCGATATAGATTGACATTTGTCAAATAAAATGTATCGGTATCGTTATAGAAAATCGATTGATCTACTGTTAGTTTGTCAAATTGACAACTAAGTCATGCAAAATTTAATTAATTGTTTCTCATGCAGATTTGGAGAATTGTTTATTATAAACATTTTCGGGTGTGTTTTTCAGCATTCTTTTAGACAAAAAAAAACTTTATTAAAGTCGGTCGGGTTGAAATAATTGATTTTGTATGGAATAATCGATTTAATTTGGACCAAATCGAGCTTTACAGTATCATTCACATATTTTTAATAATAAATACTACGAGTTCGATGAAGTTCGATTTAATTCATTAGTATGTTCTTTAGCAAAATCCCAAATAAAAAAAACCAAAATGCTTGCATTCAGCACTGGTATCATATCTTCAGCCGTTCGTTTAATCTTTCTTCTCAAAAGTTCCACAGCCCAAATGCTGCATCCCCGAATCTCAACTTCTAACCTAGATCCACATTCTAATAACTCGTGTCGCTCCAACGTCTTTATCAAATTATCAGAATATTTTATAGCACCAGCGCTTGAGGAACTCTATAATCTGCAAACATTGTAATCTCATCAATGTCCTTGAACCCCTTTCCTTCAAAACATGCCCAAATATCTGCAATTAAAATACACCTTCTTACCAAGGAACATTATTTCATCTCTAAAACATGGAAAATTATCAACGATAATCTTCAATAGATTTATGCAAAATTTATTTGACGCTTTGATACAATTAATAAAACTTCAAACTTTGTGGTTAGAGGTCTGATCCGATGAGTGATATATTCGAATACTCGAATATCCGAATATATAATTGTTCACTGAATTAAATATTCGAATATTCAATGAATATACAGATATATACTATCTAATCGACCAATTAAATGTAAGATTGGGTTCATATGTCGTGCTCAATCATATATACTGATTGGTTAGCGGGTAGGCCGGGTTAGGTATCAAATCCCAATCCCTAGGGTAAGGGTAAGGACTCGAAAAACGGGTAGGGCTTGGGTAGTACCGCTGTTCATATTATTGGCTAATTTTTACTGCTACTCAATATCGTGAATAATTATCATTTATAATTTTATTTTAGATCATGAGTGTAAAGAACAATTATTAAGTATTTAAAATAATTCATTTATTAATTTAAGTATCTAAACAAACTAATAAATCTATTAATTTATATTTATTCGCGTTAATTAGTTGGTGAATTAAAAAAATGAATATAAATAAAATGAAATATAAAGTCCTATAATTATAGTAAATGTATACATTGTAATGAAGATAAAGTATGGTGTTTGATATATAATCTAGACATCAATTCAAGAATGGATGGGGTATAAATAAAGAGATTAATGAAATTGTGATTAGATGAAAAAATCTCAACTTATAATTATAAGCTAAACACATGATCGAATGGATGATTGGCAATGGAGAGTTTTTATTTTGGTTGAATAAGTGTTATACTAAATCTGAGCTGACAAAAATTAGCCAATCATATGAATTAAATAACTGGGCATCCAGTTGTCTGGCAGACTATGAATTTAAAACTCACTCTACTTTAGCTGATCTAATTTGGGACAGTCTTCCTAATAATAATAAGCCCATGGGTACTCATGGGTTTTGTGGGCCGGGTTAGGGTATCAAGTTTTGAGCTCTAGGGTAACGGTAAGGGCTCATAAGTCAAGCCCTTACACAGACAGGTAGGGCTAGGACATTGCTATTACCCAACTCTACCCAGTCTATATAGATGCCTAGTTAGCAATGCTAATAATCATAAGCCCAAAGCAGGTAAACAAAATAAATTCTTACTAGCTAGAAGTTTTTTCTATTGATTTATTTATTTTAATATAGCTTTTAAGTATAAAATTCATTTATTAGCTTGTATATTTGAACTCTCAATTATTCAACTTTATAATATTGTTTTAATTTATTATTGTTTTAAATCAACAACTCTATTTTATTTTATTTTTTTTTTCAGTGTTAAAGGTGACCTTTTTGGCTATAACTTTTTATTAGAAGTTAAGTTTTAGTTACAACAACAGTACAACTAGCCACACATACAACTTTTAGTTATCTATTTAAGTAGTCCGCCTATTTTGGGTTCTACACTAGCTGCCATACCTGCAATCTAACTAGGAGATTACCTATTTAAACTCTCTGGTTTTTACAAACAAGGGTATAACTAGCCATATATGCAACTTTTGGTTGCCTATTTAAGTAGTCAACCTTAGGTTCTACACTAGCTGCTATACTTGTAACCTGACTAGGGGGTTACCTATTTAAATACTCTAATTATAACCTAATTTTACCTGGTGGGATCTTTTAACTTGGTTACCCAAATTTCATTTGTGCCTTAGGATTTATCAACTTGGTCTATTCTTGAGATAAACCCACTAAAGCCTTCCATATCCCATTTTGGCTAACCTAGTACTGCAGTTGCTAAGGCTCCTACTCATAGTTGAAGTTACACTCATTTAACCGCTACATTCTTATCCCTTAAATTGTAACACAGGCAAATTTGCCTGTGTTTTTATTAAAAAGTTTAATTTTTTTAATAAAAACT